CATCCTTGTACATGCAGTGCTGCCATCTTCTGTTTCAGTCCGTTATTACACTCTTAAATCCTACTACTTATTTCTGCGTCTTTTGGGATCTTACAAAGCTTCAAACGACGACAATTTTAATAGTCGACGTAATCGTGGCAGCCCTAGTGCTCAGGTATCTCGAGGTTTGTGCTCCTTTTTTATAAACTGTAACAATCCTCGTCTGTGCAGCTCTAATCTTTAAATATGCAGACGGGGTTTTGTCCTTGTAGCCTATGTTCATGTTTTTGTAAGCAGACCGGGACACTAGTGAACGCTGCTGCTTTTTTTTTTTCTTCCTCTGCTTGTAGTGCCGATCCGAGTCGAGCCATTCAGATGAGGAGTCCAGCGTAGAGGAGGATGAAGACGACCCCATGTCTCTCTCGCCGGCCTCCTCAGCATCCTGCCACCAGCCGCCTCCTCCGCTCCCAGCAGAGAGCTCACCACCGCCCACCTGTCTGCCTGCTAGCCCCTCCCAGTGGAGCGTGGAGGAAGTGTCACAGTTTATTTCCTCACTGCAAGGTTAGAAGATCTGATTTTTGATCTTATAATGCAGCACTGATTCACATAAAGATAAAAGGCTCGACTTCACGGTCAAGGTCAGAGGTCAAGTTATCTTCTGAATGAGTTAACTCGAGGGCAAGGTGATGCAGGATGTTGAAATTGGCACCATAGGGGTTTGTGCTAGGAGGCAGACGGGTAGCATGGTGGCCACCAGTATTTTTAAAGCCCTTCCAGCGTCTCTCCCTCTGAGGAATCTGTGACCTCCTGAACTGATAGATGATGGGAATGGGGGTAAAGAGGAAAAAGAACGGCAGTGCTCCTGAATTAGCTGTTTTCTGGTTACTGCTGATGTTTATCTTGTGTTGCTCTGCTTTTATATTGAAGTGCAATAATTGATGTTTTGATCAGTTATTTTTAATTTGCTGTTTCATGCTTATCAACATTGTTAATACTGTAGAGTTAAAATAACAAACAGACCAGTTTCATATTAATGTGACGCATTAATCAGGAGTTCATCTGTTTCCATCTCGAACTTGATGCTTTTATTTGTTATGTAAATGTTTGTATTTGGAGCTAATGCATGAACGGCTGTGTGCATTAATGTTAATGTACCATAATTTTCAACCTTTGCATTTTTTGTCCACCTGTGCTTTTATGCGTCGTCCTCTCAGGGTGCGAGGATCTCGCCTCCCAGTTCCTGTCGCAGGAAATTGATGGACAGGCGCTGCTGCTGCTGAAGGAGGAGCATCTCATGTCCACCATGAACATCAAGCTCGGCCCTGCCCTCAAGATCTGCGCTCACATCAACAGCCTAAAAGACTGACCGGTGTTT